AGGGATTTTTCGAAATTCGAATTCTAAGGGGGTGAAACCACCCCTCAAATATTAGAATATTTTTTATTTAAAAATCTGCTTAAACTGCTTGACGTTTAAAGCTGATGATTTTTGGCAAACGGATTGACTGTGGGGTGTAGAGATTCCATAAGGAGGGGTTTCTCGATTCCAAGAGGGTGAAAATGCCCCTCAAATATTACAATATTTGTTATTTAAAAAACGGTTAGTCTTTCGGGAAAACGCTTGGACACGCATAATTTATTTTGTTTTTTTACATATTTTGAATTTTTTTAAAAAATCATACTGGGTGTTCCAAAAAGTTGGGTAATTGATTAACTACGATTCTGCTTAACTGCTTGACGTAAAAAAAATTATTTTTGACAAACAGATTTTTCGAAAGTCAAATTCCAACGAGATGAAACTACCCGTCAAATATTACCAAGTTATATAATAATATCGCCATATTGTTTTTTCTCAGGCTCAGGACATAAATGTGAGAACATTTTATCCAGTTTGTATGTTAATGGAAATTTTTGAAAATTCCTCATCTCGGGGATGATATAGGGGTGAAAGTTGGTATGAAAATTTATTACTACCTGGCATAGAAGTATAATATTTTTACAAAGTTTATGTAGTTAATAAGTCGATTATTTGATCGAACTGTATGTCTATTCGCTTTTTTCGTATTAGAAAATCTAGGTATTTTCGGAAAAAAACACCCACAGTTTTTGATATAATTTAGTCCTAGAAAATCTAAAAAATGTATCTTCTTCAGTTTTTAGTGTTTTCTCATCCATTGAATGCACATTTTTTTAAAAGCATTTTAAATAAAATCAAAACAAGAAACTTAAACTGAATAGCTGAATTAACTAAAACAATACTAAGAACACCGTGAACTAACTAAATGTAAACCAACAAAACCCAACAGAAAATTAAAATCGGAAACAGCTAATAATAATGATGTATGTAATATCCATGTGAAACAACTGAAAAAACTGACTTAAAAATCCTCTGAAAGCCTTCAATATTCCCATCTTAGATTCCCATATTTCTTTTTCTAGGACACTGTTGCCAATTCTACTTACCAATTTGTATAAACTATATCGGTATCATGGCACATGCAAACAATATGCCGTGTCTGTATCATAAAACTACCTATTTGCTATATAAAAGATCAGCTGCTAAATTTTAAATCAATTTAAAATATCAAATAAAATGATAGTAGTGCATAAAACTATTAACAAGCAGGATATAAAAATAATTAAAGATAATTTAAGCTGTCTAATAGTAGATAGACTTTAGATTAATATTTGAAATTAACAGCTGGAAGTACAGCTAAATACAAACGGCAAGCTGACAACAAAGATCCTATTCTTTAAGAATTTTATATTTCTGATATTTTATATCATTTTTAATTTTAAAGATATCGTCATTTTCTTTATACATATGTATTGATCTTAACCCATTGTTAAAGTTTGTAAATTTCTCATACTTTACAAATAAATATTAGCTGATATTTCCTAACATCATGTAATTATTGTTATTTATTATTATCCAGGAGAAAGCGCTAATACAAGTACATATAATATTTAATTCTCACATAAAAAAAATTCAAGCTGGCAATCTCGCTTTGACTTTATAATCGTACGTCGGCTGCGACGGCCAGACGAGGCGGCGCGGTGTATCAAAGGCAAGGTTAAATGCGAGAAAGAACGAAAGAAATGGAAGCTTACAGAAGGGGGTGTGCGGGAACGATTTGAAGTCACCACGGCTGTTTGTTTGGCCGAATATTTTGCCTTCATCGACGGTATCGCCGCTCTGTCGTCGCACTTCCGAACATAGGTCTTTTTGAACACAAAATTTCCCATAAGGTGTCGCATCTGTTTAAGTTAGTTTGTGGTGAGACACAAAAAAATGTAAATCAAAAAATGATTGAATTATTTAATAAAAAAATAGATACGTAGGTATTCATTAAAGTTTATAACCGTTTATGACCATCAAAAATCGTACATTTCTATTATTATTTATTAAAGTTTATTTTTATTACGGTGGACTCTGACGACTCGTGTACTTGTACAAGCATTTGTTATTTGGATATACTTGCCATGTGGTGTGAGTGGTTTTTTTTGTGCAAATATTTGTCACTCGCCGCGTAGCGCGAACTAACTAATAATCCCAAACAAATCAAAACTATTTAGTTTTGATTTGTTTGGGATTATATAAACAAACATTGTGATATTTAGGATTCTGAATTCTGACATCTCGTGTACTTGGCAAGTACGCCAGTATTTGTATGCTTGGCAAGTATACTATCTTTGTAAACAACATATTTTGCAACAAGCTTAGCGTTCGCGCTACGCGGCGAGTGACATTTTAACGACATTTTTAATTAAGAAAGCAGACTATACATTGGATGAATTTTTCACTGACTTGGACTTAAATAAGCATTTTTTATAATATCTCTTCCCGCTTTTATTGTTTGTGAAATGTGTGCTTTTTTATGGACTTTAACGACACTTTAATTGACAACGAAATTTTTGTTTTCAAAATATTATACTTGCCATTTATAAACAATCCACCTACCGAATGTGATACCATATATACTTCAATGGTATGATTAGTAGATTTAGCTCAAACTTTAAAACAAAACCATATTTATATAATAGCACACTATAGGTCATTTATTTAAAAGCTCGCGAAATATTACGGAATAATCCTAAATTATTACATGGGAAATTAACATTTGTGCTAGACGGAATCCTTTATCTGGCTTTTTTAGTCAGTATTGGATATATTTTTGGAGATGGATTTTTGCCATTTTTGCGGAAACAGATAATTACGTCGAAAATACTTGTAAAATGATGTAAGATGAAAATTCTTTCAGTATAATTTTTGCGTTGTTAAAATCTATTCTGCAATTATAATAATAATAAAAAATGTCTATACCTATGTGACGGATTCATCTCTCCAAAAAAAATTCTTTATGGGTATTTCGCTACTGCACTGCAAGAAAATCTACAAAAACCTAAACAGACACTGCTTGTCAGAAGTTATATTTACAGTTATACAAATTTGCCTAACAAAGAAAAAAATGCTTAACGTTTCGGAAAGTTTATCTCTTTCCGTCGTCGGAAGCAAAAAAAATACAAAGAATAATGTAAAAAACTATTTAAAATATTTAAATTCAACTATTCGAGAACATTTTACTTTTTTAAAACAGATACGTCTACAAGAAACCGTTGACGTTCTTGTTCGTTGTTTTTTTCTTGTAGACGTATCTTTTTTAAAAAAGTAAAGTGTTCTCGAATAGTTGAATTTAAATATTTTAAATAGTTTTTTTTTCTTTATTCTTTGTATTTTTTTTTGCTTCCGACGACGGAAAGTGATAAACTTTGTTAAACAAATTTGTATAACTGTAAACATAACTTCTGACAAGCAGTGTCCGTTTAGGTTTAACGCAGAAGTGTTTACAAAAAATAACTATTTTATTTTGTAGATTTTTTTGCTGTGCAGTGGCGAAATACCCATAAAGGATTTTTTTGGAAAGATGAATCCGCCACATAGGTATACATAGACATTTTTTATGAAAAATAATATTCCAGGGCTATTCGAGGACTAACTTTAGTTGCCGATGCCCTTTTTAAGATTTTGTTTTAATCTTTATGTAAGTGGTATGAAGAGCAAAATTAGAAAACACAAATAATAAGACCTATATTAAAAGAAGAAATTCGTAGTTTAATAAAAGAATTTCAATCCGATGCAAACTTCAAGCATCAAAATTCAAACAACTTTTCAATGTTTTCATAAAAAAATATTACAAAAATATGTCATATTAAATCGACACCTACATATGGACACTCACACATTAAATAATTATTTAAAAAGAATTTTCTACATTTATTCTAAAACATAAATTAATGCCACATCCGCCACATCTAGCACGCCGTACAAGGTGATGCAGGCCGGGCGGTATAGCGCGGCGTCTAACTATAGGGCGCGCACGGGATAATGATAATTTTAAATCAGAATAACTATAAAAATATTAGTAATAGAAGGTTGTAACAAGTTTTAAAAACTTTTTTAATATTTTTTCTTTATTTCATACGCAGATACTATGTAAAAATTCCTTCAAATAAAAAAGTTTTTCGCTTACCGAAAATCATGATACAATAAAGTTAATGTTTGAAGTTTAATCCATTTTCTAAAAAAAACTCTTACTATGGAATTTTAATTACCTCAGCTATCACCGCCTATGTGTTCTCAATCGATTAAAAAAAAAGAGTTTGTGAATAAGTTGATAAGTTTAGGAGTTATCGCGTAGGAAATATAAAAAAACATTTTTATCCATTTTGACAGATTTTTGACACTTTCCGGTATAAAAAATTTCTGACCCCCCCAAAAAGGTCGTAATTAGTCATTTCACATGCACAAAGCCCTAACCGATCATCTCATAACCATTTTATGTAGTTATACCTTCAAAAAAATTTTTTCAAGAAGGAAGCGACTTTTCTTAGTGATTTTACTCCACTATATGAAATAGGTTTAAAATTAAGATTTTCATATAGGTATGTAACCCATAATACTTGTCTGTAAATGTATAATATGTAATAATAGTATTATGTATGTAATAATACTTGTCATGTAAATGTCTGACTAAGAACTCTGAATGAATTATGTCACATTCTACTTAGATTCTAGGTTTTAACATGATTTATGAATGACTAAGAGAATCTATGTAATTATAATCTAAGGACTTAAAATCCCCATTTTTACCAGATTTTGTAGATAGTTTGCATTTTGCAAACTCATCAGTTAGATTGTAAACTAGCTGATGGTTGCCCACAATTTTGCAAGAATGGATGGATTCCTGCAAAATAACAGGGCTTTTACTTAGTATGCAAAATTGCTGGTTAGTTTTAAAACAAGCAAAGTATCAATATTAACCATAAAATATAAAAAAAACAAAGAGAGCAAAAAAATATGTGACATAGATGTGTTACCTGTACTAAGCTTCGGACTACACACAATGCATCATGTAAACTTCTTTTAGCTTCTTCAACTAACATTTTATTTCCTCCCCTAACTAAAATAGTGACCGCTCTATAAAAATAAAACTATTATTATTTGATCACATTATTTTTAAACTTTAAACTTTAATTTCAAATACCTTGAATTAGAACATTCTTCTATTATAAGCATTTTGTCACTAGTGGTTCCAAATGATATTTCACGAACTAAACCAGCAGATCCTAACTTTTCAGGGCTGAGTTCTTCAAACCTGGGCACGATGCGTCCACCAGTAGCAATTGCTATTAATTCAATTTCTGGACCTCCAACCTACAAATTTCTAAATGTAAATAAAACAATATATATATAAACATTAGAAGTTTATTACCCAACGCACAGCAGGAAGCTGTTGCTGTAGCAAAAGATGATTAGCTTCATCATCAAATCCCCACTGACATATAGCTAAGGTAGCTCCGGCCTTTTTCACAAGGCCAACCTAGAAAAAAACACCTTTAATTTAGCAACCTGATGACGAATTGATATGTGTTCAAATTACAATTTCCTTAAATTTATCTTGTTCATACTGTCTGAGCTCTTTATATCCAGCAACATCAGTAACATCCAACTTATGTTTTGTTTTTGGTTTTGGTGGTTCAAATGGGCATGTGAGAATTGCCAATTTCACATTCTTAAGTTCTTTAGGCATTTGAGGATGTGACATGGTTTTATCAATCACAACACCTTTAACTAATACTGTATCTTCAAGTTTACCACCCACCTAAAAAATAAATACAACACACTTATTTTATTTGAAAACTTATGAACTGAATATATTCATTCACCTTTCCTTCCACTTTAATTAATTCAAAATTAACATCTTTTTGTTCTAAATCGGCTACAGCTAATACTGCATTGACTGCAATCTCAGCCATTTGCCTGTGACACTTGTTGATTATTTTTGAACCCAAAGTAGTCATTGCAACTTTAATCAAAGGTTCTGGGTTTTTGTCTGAAACAGGGAACAACTCTGCAATTTTCTCTAAATGAGAAACAGCAGTTTGGCATGCCATCTCAAACCCATCAGCTATTCTAATGGGGTGAATGCCACGATCCAATAAAGTAGCAGCCTGCTCTAACAATGCCCCAGCAAGAACAACAACGCCAGTTGTTCCATCACCTAAAAAGTATATAAATTAGTACCTGAGTATTTATATTTAATGTGTAAATTACCAATTTCATCGTCTTGAGATTGAGATAATTCAACCAACAATTTCCCAACCTCGTGCTCAACATCCATCAGTTTTAAAATGGTTGCCCCGTCATTTGTAACAGTGACATCACCTATTAAATTTTTTGTAATATACTACATATACATAAATAACACTACAGATAAAGATTTAAAATCTTTAATTAAACCGTAAATTCCAATCCATAGTAAATCTTACCATCAGGCGAAATCATCATTTTATCTAGACCTTTAGGGCCCAAAGAAGTCCTAATTGTGTTTGCAATTTGCCTGGCAGCCAGAATATGAGACTAGAAAAAAAGGTTGATAATGTATTATTTTTTCCTAACTGAACATATTGTTGTATTATACAATAAAATACAACTATTTTACTGAGAATTATAAGGCTTAAGAGAAACATTCTTTTTGACACTCCCACAATTTAAACAAAAATATAACCTACCTTTAAGGCATCAATTCCGGTTAATCGTCTTTGTTGATCTTGATCTCGAAGTATGATAAAAGGTCTACCATATTCATCGAAAGCTATACTGCCTGGAAAGGCTGACATTTTATTTTATAATTTTCACTTTATATATTTTACGATGAATGAGGACTAAATTTCCGTTTCTATTTTAGATTTTAGACTTCTTCAAATTCAATATTTTGTTTTCTTACATCTGTCATTAGTGTCATTGGTCATTTCTTCGCCGTTTCTCACTATAGGCCCAACGTGCTAGGACTCTCCGGCATAGTAAGAGGGTTGCCCACCCATTGCAGGCGTTAGGGTTGTTATTAAGTCAGGGTCCGTCCCTTATGGTGGGTTCATACAGCCAAATAAAATAAAATAAGAATAAAATAAAATAAAATAAGAAAGTTGGTTATATGGGATTGTACGGTATCCCATATAACCAACTTTCTTATTTTATTTTATTTTATTCTTATTTTATTTTATATTATATTATATTATGGTTATATGGGATACCGTACATGCGTTCATACAGCCAAATAAAATAACAAATAAAATAAGAAGTCTTTATCTTTTAACTTCTTGTTTTATTTTATGTGAAAACGGCTTTGCGCACGCTTAATTCTAACCTACAAATATTTTCAGTTTGGATTTAATTTATTTTATAATTTCACATAAGTAAAATGTATAATATAGTAGGCAACGAATAAATAAATATACTATAAATAGTAAAATTACTATAAACAATCGTAAAAGTTAACTTTTATCCAGCCTCATCGTACTGCGCATGAGCAAATATATATTTCTTATTTTATTTTATTTGACTGTATGAACGCACACAAATAAGAATTCCTTATTTCTTATTTTATTTTATTCTTATTTTATTTTATTTGGCTGTATGAACCCACCATTTTACACAAGCCTGTGTTCAAATTCTTCATTTACATATTCAATTAGCATCTATCCTTTTTTTGGTAAACGTGTGGATCCGGTGGCTGACCTTAAGCCCATATTTGCTGCATTTGATCATCGATACTACGCAAGCGCACATCGTCGATGTTGCCAAATTGCAGTTTATTTTCGAATTATTTTTAGTTAAAAACAAATGTTTTAATAATACAAAATCTATAATTAATTTTATAATTTCAGATTTATCTTGATATCAAAAATTAAGGTAAGAAGGATAATGAAGATTGTGAAATGAAAGTATTATGAATATATAAAAGTGTAATAATAATAACATTTATATATTTACATTAGAATTAAAAATTATCATTTACGGATTTTTTCTTAATGGTTTTAAACTTATTAGAATTATTTTATTTCTTTCAAGTTATTTAATTTCTAGTTATTTACAGGCAACAATAGTTTTGATTATACATATGTATTGATGTATTGAAGTACTACCATGACGAGTCTTATAGAACAATACACGTCAATGGGAGATAGAGGTAATATTTTACCTATAATGTTACTAATATAATATACTTTGATTATAATGTTTAATGTTTGTATCATATAATTTCTTAAAAATATCAAGTTAGTGGATTAATAGCAATTTTAGACATATTTTATCGAAGAGTGTATTGATAAGACTAAATTAAACTTTATATTTTATCTTTTTCTCTTTAGAAGGGAGATGGTTTGTGTCCTAGAATACATTACAGTATTTAATATCGTGAACTTTGATATTCTTTTCTTAATTTACTGTAATTTCTTGTTTCCTATAATGCCAAATCTTGACAATATGGTGAAGCTTGAGTTTTAATCTTATTAGTTTTATACCTGTGTTTATACAAGACCAAATTAAGACTTTTTAGTTTGTGATTAATATTAAGATCTTTCTTATAATATTTGAATGTCTTAATCTTAATACTATATTATGCTTTGTATGGAAAATAAATGTTAAAATATCTTAATTTTGCATATCCTATTCCATCCTTCCATAGTTTATAAATCATATATGCTAAGAAAATCACATAAATTAGTTTTAAGAATAGAGAAATCTTAAGGTAGCAGAAAAATTAATGCAGTATATGTATAAGCAGAATTAAACAAAAGGTAACTGTTAATGTTGCTGAAGCTGATTCTACAATTTTAATTACGGAGGCTAAAAGGCCTTTTAAGTAGTAGTTTTGATGGAATGTTAAAAAAACCTATTATGAATATGACATGGAGCTACAGCATTTAAAAATTTAAAAATAGGGAAAAACTTGGACATATCCTTTTTAATTTCCCGAATTTTTAATAAAGCACTTTTTAAACGTAGCATAATAATCTAGAGCAATTAGATTAATTATAGGAATCTAGAGTTTTATTTATATTTAATTTTATTGACAATGAAAATACATAATAAGCGTTCACGTGTTGTGCGAAATATTAAAATAATAATATAAATAATATACCGCGTACTATGATTGAAAAAAATAGCGTCAGCGATGACTATGAAATGAAGATAGCTGTCATTTTATATGGGAAATGTCCTCAATCGTCATTTCCCAGCCAACTGGACGCCGTTCGATCATACGGTATATATTGACAAAAAAAAAACTGAAAAGCACATATTTGTTTTCTACTGAAAATAATTCCAAAATAACTTGCAATTTAGCAACATCAAAGATGTGCGCATGCGTAGTGTCTGTGACTATATGCAGCAAAAACTCGTTTCAAGGTCAGCCACCGGATCCACACCATTACCCTTTTTTTTTATTTAAAGCATTTATCCACCTCTGTCTACCAATGACTATTAATTTTTAAAGCACAGTGAAAAGGTAAATACATTTACTGTCCTCCATTCTCCATTCACTCAGTTGTGCAGCTCTGAACTGTTCAAGAACGCGTTCCGCGCCATATGGAGGCACCAGGCTATCGCGCACAGCCAGTGCCTTCTATTAAAAGATCAGCCTAGGGGCGAGATTTATGACGTCACGCTAGTTAGATATAATGGATTAATAAATATGTTGTAGAATACATGGAAAACATAATTATTCCTCGGATTTTTGGTTTGTATTTTAAAAATGATATAGTTTAAATTAAATATACATAATATACAGTTAATAACTACAACATATATACCTATTTATAGTAATAAATACTTTGGCAAATAAACTATGAACCATACAAATGCAGCAAATGTTTTACAATGTACAAATAATGTATAGGTACATAAGATAATGGGTAAAATGTAAATATATTTTAAATTTTGGGGTTTGAAAATCGATCTAGTTTAACAAAAAAACATTTAATATCTACTAATAGTGATGTATTATTATTTGCATTCACAAAATTTATATGTATATTTTGCAAGTATCAATGTTCGAAAAATTATATTTACAAATAATACAATATTATCTAAAAAAGGCGTCAGCGATGGCTATGAAATGAAGATCGCTGGCATTTTATATGTTAAATTATTCTAAAATTTTTGATTTTCTTGGGATTTTTAGGTTCGGGAAAAACGCTGATTAAGTTTTCATTTGGGTTTCATTATTTTTATTTGGTATAAAAAAACGTTTCGGCTAACTATAGCCTTCACAGTGTTGTGTAATATGAGAAAAATAGTGTCGAATATAATCCAAAAAATTACATATACAATATAATTCACACCTCATAATGTTTACTGCAATTAATAAACTAATATAAACTTATCAAAAGATGACCACATATTTTTAAAAATTATTATCCTTAACACTAAAATTATCTACATTGACTATGTAGTACGCAGTAAACATTATGTGGCGTGGTGTGAATATTTTATATGCTATTTTTTGGATTATATTCGACACTATTTTTTTCATATGACACAACACTGATGGAGGCTATAATGTTAGCCGAACCGTTTTTTTTAAACCAAATAAAAAATAATGAAAACCAAATGAAAATCAATCAACGTTTTTCCCGAACCTAAATTCCAAGAAAATCAAAAAATTTAGAATATTTAGAATCAAGGTTCAAGAATATCAAATTTTCCAAGATTGTAAAATTCTAGTTAATTATTTTATGTGTACAGTTATTTAGGAATGTCATCGATGTTCATTTCCAAAACCAACTAGACGCCGATTTTTTTCGATGATACGGTATAATTCTTACGTAAAATGTAAATAACATTAGACCAATTAAAACAAAGAAATATGAATTTCTTAGTATTTTTAGTAACACCTTTATTCTTAAAACTTAATTTTGTATTATGCAAATATACCAATTTTATTGTTATTTTATTCATATTGTATTCAGCCATCACTTAAATATTTGATATTAATTTGGTATTATAAATAATCAATACTATTCATTAAAAATTACTGAACAAATATATGTTATGCTTAACATACATTATATATTATCAAACAAAAACACATTCTTCTCTTAAACTGTATCAGTCTTGTCTTTACAAAAATCTTTTTTAAAATTTGAACTCAAAATAATAATCTTTTTCATGATCTCTAATACACATATTCTTTATTTTTCCCTAGATCATAATACCTACTTACGTGTTTGAATCTATCGAAGCTGAACCAGCAACACTTGGAGTGGAGATTCCACAATATGAATAAAATAAACATAATTGTCCAGTTTTCATTAATACCATCATGGGAGAATATTATTTTTAAATTTATTAAAGATATTTTCAATAAAATTTCTCTTGATTTATAACTCGTACCCACTTTTCTTGCTCTTCCGGACACTTTAGGCTGCCTAGTATAATAACTATCCTTTCCACCAGGAACACAACAAAGATGAGGCATAGCACCAAAAACACACTCCACTTAAGCTTTATTGATGAATTGTTAGAGTCTTAAAAAACACACACAAAAATCACGATAAGTAAAAAATGTATGGGCACTTTTAGGTTAAATCACTTACACAACGTGTAATTTTTAAAATTTCTATTTTTTATGCGAAACCGAGAGTGACCATATATCTGGTAGTAGTTTATGTCACTTCAACACCAAAATAATTAGTTTTTTGCACTACAATAATAAATAATACAAAAAATCAAAGAGTTAAAACCAAAAATCAACCGACAAAATATGAAACGGAATCTAACCCAATATCTAAGTATGTACAGCTGATGAAGTAAACAAAAGTCCGCCCGCAGGCTGATCTTTTAATAGAAGGCACTGGCACAGCTCCTTTGAGAACTGTTCTCGAGTAACCCAGGGCGTAAAGCTCAGCAGCTGGAACTTGAAATTCGCGAATGAAGGACAGCAATTGTGCGCGTTCAGGGAAAACAGCGGCTGACTGACCGCTGAGACTTTTGCTAAGCGGCTGACTGTTTTTGTGTGTAAAATAGACCGTTTAGGGAACCGCTTGGCTTTAATCAAGCCACTCAGCCACCGACCGTCCATAAACGCGCTCAATGGGCGCGTTCAGCGATGGACACAAATACAGTCAATCGCTGAGCAAAAGTCTCAGCGGTCACTCAGCCGCTGTGTTCCCCAAACACGCACATTTTCTTTTATAGAAAAAGTTTTGATGATACGATAAAAATCGTATCAATAAAGATTTTGATGTATCTTTGATGTATTTTGATACAGATACGTACAGAGGATATGTGTGTACTTCATACATATATTCCTGCCTTTGTTTAAAAATTGTTCATTGAAATATAAATATAAAGTATTTCCATGCCAGAAAATTTGTATTTTTGTTAAATCGTATTCAAAAAATCTTTTTATACCTATATGATAAATCCATATACATATTAGTTAGTTAATATATATATATATATATGGATAAATCCGATAAATCTACGCAACCTGGACATAAATGCACACATAAATGTGTCAATGAGCGCGTTCAGAAAACACAGCGGCTAACCGACCGCTGAGCAGGGTTCGGAAGTAGTTAATTAAGACGTAATTTACCTGATTAACTACGTGTAGTTTTTCTTAAAAAACTACGTCTTTTCCCGTTCATTAACTACATGAAAACTACGTTAATAAACTATGTATTGATATTACGAATAATTTTCCTTTGTATGAGGTGTAATAGAGATAATATGATGTAAATATTATATTCAAAGCCATATTTCTTCTGTTTTCTTAAATACATTATGTGTTTTTAAAGCTTCAATAACCTCACCTCAAACCTTTGACATTTGAAAGTTACATCAGAGGTTACATATAGGTTACATAAACTACACCCTCTACATAAACTAATAAACTACATTAACTATATGTAATGTAGTTTATGTAGTTTTTAAAAGTAGCATTTAGTTTTCCGAACCCTGGTCGCAGACCTAAAGACCGAACCTAGTGATTGTGGAATTTTGTGGAATTTGGGTATGTTCGCCGTGGAATATAATTTTGGACCATTGGCAACGCTGATTCTGTGTTGTTAACCTTGTGTAGTTTGTGTGGTGGATTTTGTAAATTTTGTACCAGAAAATCAAAAAAGGTATCTGAAGTATTATAAAGGTATTTAAAAACCCTTTCTTGGAAACAGATATCATGACAGAAATGACTGAAACAATGAAGCAGAGGGTTGCAACTATGTTGAAGGGCATAGAAAGGTACCTACTGTTACATCCATTTTTTATTTGCAAGTAGTATAGCATTATTTTTAGGTACAATCCTGATAATCTGCCTACGTTAGAAAGATATGTTGAAATGCAATCAAAAGAGAATACATATGATCTCGAACCAAACCTCGCTGTTCTGAAGTTATATCAATTTAATCCTCAATATTTTAACATACAGATAACCTGTCAAATTTTACTAAAAGCTCTTACAAATTTACCTCACACTGATTTCATTTTGTGCAAGTGTTTATTAACAGAAAAACAGGTATGTATTTTTCATGGCAATATACATTAGAATTACATTAGAGTTTCGAAGGCAAAGCTCACTTCATTTATCATGAAAATTTCGATCACATGGTACCTACCATACCTGTCATAGTGTTGAATTAATGAAACATGAAGGGTATTACAAAAATTATCACATTTGTCTATCACAGTTGAGAAAAAAAATATTGCATTACCTCCAGAGGGCTGCCACCTTTTTTATTTAAAAAATCGGGTCAACCTTTTTTTTCTAAAATGTAAAATTTTATGTTTAACACGTTAAGCCCCGTGTGGCATTTCACTGGTGCCTCACTTTAGTGTACCCCTGGGACCTCGTGATATCACAATGATGCTACACAGTAAGATTTGATTTTGGACGCCGAGGCATCAAGGCGATTGCACGCTGCTGTGTAAATGTAGTCGGTTTTGAAAATCTGCGGTCCAAAGGGTACATGCATGTTAGCGGGTTGGGAAAATTTTAGAACCTATAAATTTTATCGCATAGTATAACAGACGATCATTTTTTAGCAGTTTTTATCATTAACACGTTGAGTACGGGTGTGAAGTGAAAAAAATCATGTCGAAGGACGGGCCATTTTTCGGTCTATTAAGCCTATTTTCGTTATTTTGTGTGTTTTAACTAAGAAAAAATAAAATTTTTGAAGTCCAGCTAAACTTTTCTATTACTATAGATGGCTAAGAGAGAGCTCCTATGTTTGTAGCATTATAGCGAGGTGTATCATGAAACCACGCCGTCCTTACTAATTTTCTGACTGTGGTATGACATCCATGCCTCACCGTCTCAAAACAGACATGCAGTGAGGCATCCGTTAAATGCCACACCATGCTCAACATGTTAAAAATACAGTACAACTAAAAACTAATTAGGATAAATATATTTTAAACATTTTTGGTAGCCGAATGCACTTCAAAAAAGCAAGAAATAGAGACACTAGTTTTACAAACGGAACACAGATCGAAAAATAACGGCGTCCAGTTGGCTTGGAAATGACGATCGATGACATTCCCCATATAATTTTACATATAAAATGATAACACAATCTTCATTTCATAATCATCACTGACGACGTTTTTTTTTTCGATCATATAGTGTAACTTTGCCTGAAGAGTCACATGAGACGTATGCGATTCATGTCGCCATATGGTAGAAGAAAAACGGCGTCCAGTAAGCTTGAAAATGATGATTGATTCTACATATAAAATGACAGCGATCTTCATTTCATAGCCATTGGGTATTGGAAAAGCACAGCCTCCCAGACAAAAAAAAATATTTTTGTATTGCGGTCGTTAACGTGTTAAATTGCTATAAGGTGCAAATTAATTTTGCAAAACGTCAACAAATCAAACAGAATGACTGAAGTTTTTTCAATATGGTACATAATGGAATAAAAAACAGTTATTAATATTTTTTAGCTAGGAGAAGATCCTATTAATCAAGTAATATACTTGGCAGATATTTTGGAACAATGTGATTTTCAGTTGTTCTGGGCTAGAATTAGAACTATACCAGAACTTACTCAAAAAATATCTGGTTTTCTAGATTCTATAAGGAAGTTTGTTTGCCATGTTGTTGGGATTACTTTTCAAACAATTGAGAAAAATCATTTATCACAGCTCCTAGGTAAGTGTTTAAATATTTGTTAACAATTAGTAGTTAGTATTAGTTAGTAAAAGACTGGCTTCGGAACAATAAATTGACTCTAAATTTTGCAAAAACAAATTATATAGCTTTTTCACTAACAAAAGCAGCCCGACCTACATTTGATAGTATTTTAATAGGCAGTCATTGCCTGCGGGAAACCCCTCAGACTAAGTATCTTGGCATCATTGTAGACCAACACATTAAATGGCAACCTCATACCGACTATTTATGTAGTAAAATTGAAATTAATTCATAAGTTTTACTTGATGAGGGAATTTCTAGACAAAAGAACATTACTAACTGTTTATAAAATATTCGTTGAATCAATTCTTAGATATGGTATTTTGGTGTGGGGCGGAGCTTATGAAAATGCCTTATATAAATTAAACATTGTCCAGAAGTATATCTTGAAAATAATTTTAAAGAAAAATAAATTATATCCCTCAAAATTATTGTTTACTCCAGAAATATGTAGTATAAGAACACTTTATATGTTAACAATATGCTCCTATATTCATATTAACAAAAAAAATTTGAATCGCATTAATCACAATTATATAACTCGGGCTAATTTAAATAATAATCTGCAATTACCAGTGAGCAGCAACAACTTAAATTTGAAATACCTGAGTTATATCGGCCCTAAACTTTATAATATGCTTCCAACGAATATTAGAAACACCGCTAAAGAAAAAACATTTAAAAATTTATGCAAAGAGTTTGTTTATGAAAATTGTAAGCAGTTGGAGGGTTTCTTCTGGAAATATTTTTTTTTTCCTTCTTGGTAATTGTTGGGTTCTTTGTGTTTGATTGCTTGGACTGTTTGATATTGCTCGAATGTTTTAAAATATAAGTAATACTGTTATAATTATTACATTTTGCACATACAGCTATTAGTTAGCTAGGTGCTACTTGAGCTAGTAGTGTAATAATGAATGTAAAAAAGTATTTTCAAACAAATGAGACTAGATTCGCGTTCTTAATATTGTGTTAAATATCAAAATATTTACAAAGCAAATCAAAATTGAAATCTACAATACTTCAAAATCTCATTCTCTGACAAAAAAAATAGTTAGGTGATGTGTGGATGGTATCATTATTTTAATAAGAAACAATTTTTGGTGATTATTATACTAAACTATGCTGTCAGATACTTATGTAAATATTACCATTTCTGTATATCATTATTGTATATTGTATTTTTGTGAATATTGCATTGTTTGAAATAATATTGTAATATCTGTTTATATAATTCCAAGGATGAATAAAGATATTATTATTATTATAATTGTTAACAAAATTAACAATTAATTTGTTAAATTTTTTATTCAAATTTATTATTACTTTCTCTTATTTTCCGAATTAAAGTACACTATGTTTTATATAAAAACTTTATTTTACATAAGAATATGTATGAAATGTGTGGATCACTTTTTGGAAAACGAGTTGAGAGTGATTTTTGCAGGAGAAATGGAAATCCGATATCTCTTGATGCTTTCGACACTCATGAACTGTTCCTTTGCTAGGCGAATATTTCATGAACTTGTTATCATTGTTATTAAAGTGATTCAGTAATAGTTTAAAACAACTTTCTGTGTTTCTACCATAGACTTAAAATAAAATATAGACTACACTATTTACATCTAAACGCGGTCAAACAATCTTTTTTGTACACATGTTTACTTCTGGGTACAGTCGACCGAGCCTTCCTCATCCAGCCTATGTTGTCAGGTCTTTAATATTATCAATATTTTTTTTCTTGTTATATACATATATTGAGATATTAATAGAGCATTTTAATAAAGTAGGTTTTAATATTCCATAGATGTATTAAATAGTCCTTATACTACTAAATTATAAGTCGGATACTATTTAAAAAGGACAAGTTCTTTACAATATGGCAACACCGATCAGAGGCGAGGTCGCCTATTCATTCATTTATTACCCTGTAGTACGCGTCGCACGTGTGCGGTAAAGCTTTGTTGCCGCTATGTCCCCGGCTGTATTAACGCATTTTCTTAGCTTGTAGTCCTTAAGTGTTTATTTTATTTACTTTTTCTGTTCAAGAACTATAAAATATGGTTCGCCAGTGCCATATTTGCAAAAAATTTGACTTAAATAATCCATTTAAGTCTTGAAACGACTTTCGATCGGTAGGCATCTCTCAATTTACCAAATGGGAGTCAGTGGCGTTGTTGTAGAGAGGCGCTTATTTAGATAATATTTTAGTAAAATGTAAAATCTGAATTTTTTTCTCTTACATAATCATTTATGTAAAGGTTTTTGTAACAAAATCATAATTATAATCCTGTTAATAATTAATAATGTTTTTATTAAAAATATATTCCGGTTTATTCTAAAATTGTCTTCAGAATCTAAAATAACATACAAGAATTTTAAAATGATATTACATTATGAAAAAATATTTTTTAATATACCGGGTTCGTCTCAAAAGTGGCTCACCCCCTATAACTTTTTTATTTTTTCAGATAAAAAAAAACAGATTTGCATGTTAGTAGGTATATGATATAAATTAGGATTGATTGACGTATTCAATTGTTTTTGGTCTCTTCCTGTTTCACCGGAAATTATTACATCTTTTGATTTTAAAGGGACCCTCGGTATATTGCTTCGATAAAAAATGACACTCTGAATACAATGACATATCATATGTCAACTTTTGACATTGTCGCTTAAAAACAAATCGTATTTTAAATTTCAATCCAGGGTGCCATGGTGTTGTTAAAAACACTAAGTTTTAATCAAGGAGCATGGGTTTCGTGTCCTGTCTAGGCCGGTTAAAAGATGTACAAATCGTATTTTTAATCATATGTCATTTTTTTCAAATGGAACAAGGATGACTCATTAGCATATTTGGAAAAAGCATTTTTTTTATGAATATATTGATACCACACACTTGGTATTTCGAGTCAAATTGTCGTTATGAACCGCGTGTTACAATTACAATTAAACCATATGCGAATTTTTCACATTTCCTGTGAAACAGGAAGTGACCAAAAACAATTGAATGCGTCAATCAATCCTAATTTATGTCATATACTAACATACTAAATCTTGTTTTTATATTTGACAAAATAAAAAAATTATGGGGACGAGCCACTTTTGGGACGCACCCGGTATAATAAAGACAGTACCGAGTTAAATAAATGTAGTTTTCATTTTATCCACTTCCTATCACTTTCTTTGCTTTAATGGAACAGATTTATGTTTTCTCTAATTTACATAATAAGATATCACTTAACCAGAAAAAAAATTACAACAATCATAATTTTTTTTTCTCTCCCTGTCGCCGATTCTATTATATCTGTAGAATAGGTCCTGTTTTGATTAATATTAGGGGTTGTAAACGTTTGACTAAAATTATTGATTTATTATCAATTTCAAAAATTACGTAATTTCGATTATATAATTTCTTCTATAACATGTATTTTATTATTTTTATCCTTTTTGATTGACGTTTTTCCTAAACTTTTATTTAAAAAAACCTCTCTTAAATCTTAATAAAATATAAAAAAAGTTTAAATACGATATATTTTTAATTTAATTATAGCTTCATTAAAATAAAAAAAAATACCCGGCTATGATACGGAGAGTTCAGGTGTACTTGAGAAACGAAAGACAGTGTTGCGTTTCTCGTCAGAGTCGTCAGGGAACGACCGTTACGACAGAGACAACCTATCTATCGCTCGTGTCGCACTCGTTATAACTTAAAACAATAACACAGCAATAACAAGACATTGTCTGACCGCATGTTCCAGCTATTTATGAATGAGATGCTCAGTCTATATTTTATTTTAAGTCTATGGTTTCTACCCACAAATAAGCGCGTGCTTTCTTTGTTTTCTTTTTGTTAGTGACATTTTTAATAAGCGATCGTCATATGTCATATTCCTCCTCCTCCAGTAAAAGAAGCGTTAAACTAAAAAAATTCTGGTACCTTTAATACGTTTTTCGAAAAAAGTTATGAAAAAGGAGATATTTGAAAAAAACGAAAAAATCCAAGATGGCGGCGGTTTTTTCAAACTTCCCCCACTGGGACCGAATGGGACTTTTAAGGGGTTAAATAGGAGATCATTATCTATATATTCCCGTTGAGATTGGTTGGTTACTAATTTTTTCCACCTTTACATATAATACTCGGCTACGTTTACTGGCCTACTATGTATGCTACGAGTACCAGACTATAACTACTGAAAATGCAACTAAACTTACGTTTACGCGCATTACACGATGCACAAAACACATACACAAGCAGAAGTGCGAGCGCCTTGCTAAATATTGGAAAGTGAAATTGACGTTTAAATTTGACACTGTTGACAAGTCTACTGCTACTAGCGCCCCCAATATCGCTTGTAGGAACTACGGACTAGATTGTCACACATGGCGGGAAGTTTAAAAAAATAAAAATTTTTAATTCTTCATTTATTTTTAATCATGACATAGATAAAAACTCAAAAAATACACCATTTTTTAAAAATATGTTTAATATCAATATCAAATATACAACAGAAATGAATTTCACCAAAATAAATTTATAAAATTAAAAGAATAATGTTACAAGTAGATCAAGAGACTGAAAACTGAAAAAAATGGCGTCATAGATGGCTTAGAAATGAAGATATATATATATCATAATTTTGAAAGTAAAATTATATAGGAAATGTCATCGATCATCATTTTTAAGCTAACTGGACAATTATTTCAAACATACAAGCTGAGTTCATTCATAGTGCTCTTAGAAATCTAGATAAACAAAGAATAATAAATTAAAAGTATTCCAGGGGAAAAGAGAGTAAAAAACTTGTATCGTCTCTGATATCTGTCAGGGTATTGTTGAAAGTGTCATCTTTTTGCTCAAAGTTTTCAGGTCGATTAAAAAGATGACATTTACAACAATACTTTGCCGTAACTTTCACAAATATCAGAGAGAGAGTACAGGTATTGCCTCTCTTTTCCTC